TCTTTTACTACGATAAAATCATTTTCAAAGTAATTGTTCTCCTTGTGCAGACAGAAATTGTTGGAACATTTTGTTAGAGGAATGAAAATTAAAATTTCTTAATAGTACATATATTTTTTTATAATTTTAAAGTATTAATACGATATTTAAGGAACATTTAGCTCATCTTACATTTAATAGAAAGAACAAAAACTTGATAATTACCACAAAATCGACCCTAGTTACTTCAAATTCCTTTTGTCCAAAAGCTTACGAAAATACTGAAATTTTAAAATAAACAAAAATGAAGAAATTCTAATGAACTCAGACAGTGATCCTATTCTAAATTCGAATCTTTTCAATCAAATCAAAATTATAAGTCAAAACATGCATTTAGGAAATTTGAGTTAATCTTAAGTACGGGGCAAAAGCTTACACTTTTCTTATTAAATTTGAGTTAATTTCTTTATGAGTATTAAATCAGAAGAGTTTTTTCTTTGCCCAACAATATCTACCAATCTAAGATTTTTTCTCAAAAACTTATTTCTGCGATTGCAGCATTCAGGACTTCTAAGGATTCAGATGAGTTTTTAGTGATACCTACAGGTCCTTTAACGACTTCACCAGATAAGTTTGCCCTTAATAGCTAGCAACCTTATGAGTTTTCTCAAATATATATTTCTGTGATTGCAGCATTGAGGTTCGTCCTCTAGGGATTCGGATGGGTTTATGTTAATACCTACAGATCCTTAAAAATGGATTTCAAAAAATGGGACAACTGTATCCGAGTCCCTTTTTTAATGCAGTGAGCCCATCATACACATTTGTAGTTAATCGAAAATTGAGAGTTTATGCAATGTAAATCTAAAATGGAATTACTGCATCATCGAATTGATTACTCACGATCAGTGATGTATTGGTACCTCTTCGGGCATTTTATGTCTATTAATTTAACAGGAGTATTGGATCAGAGTACACGAACATAGAACATTTCAAAAACAACTATTTATTTACGCAGACGGATGTGTACATGATGCATTGTTTGCTAATAATTTTTGAACTGAAATGCATCAACATCATTTATCTAGGTACGTATTCGCTATCCATCTGTCGAAATTTTAGTGTAATATTTTCAGAGAATTGTAATATTTATGTCATATGTTTTTCTTCAAAACAATTCCGGTTTTTGAATCCTGTAACGTTTACAGAATAAATACCTGCCGTTTTTTAGTTTACCAACAAAATTCTGGACGTATGCATTACGTTTTAACATTTTCCCGAATATTTCATATTACCTCCAACGGCATGTTTTCCACCATCATGTTACGTTGATCGGGTACAAACTTTTAATTTTGAAAATGTTAAAGGTGAAATTGATCCATCTGGCATGGAGCTGTCAATCGATTTGTTATTTGCGAGTGCCTTAAGGGAAAATTTCAATCTATGAACTCTAAAGAAATAAAATAAAAATAACCTTCATCTTTACTATCATTTGCATGATGCATGGCTGAAATTGACAATTTACAATATTATTACAGTGTTCAAAAAATATGCCAGGTAACTGATAATTTGAATAACTAATAACTAAAAATTGAAATAACTAATCAGAAAGTGCTTTCTTTGTTACAAGCAACTGATACATAGACTAGGTACTACAGATACTCCTGTTAGCAACAAAGGAGTAATACTCTGATAGAAATTAAATAGAAATCTTAATACTTTTCTAGCAATACCATACATATGAAATGCATTGACATTTAATAGAGGTTAACTGCCTCAGGTTAATTAAAAAAAAATTTGTTGGTGTTGTCACAGCCTCGCCGGAAATCGAACCTGAGACCTTTGGCTTTACGCACCAATGCTCTGACCACTATTAGGTCGAAGGTATGACAACAGCAACAAATTTTCCGTCATTAACTTGAGGTAATTTACAGTGGATAAGAAATTGCGAGTGAATTTTCACATTAATATTTTCTTTTTTTAAACCATTGTACAACTTTTAAACATTTTTGTGAAAGTTTCATATGAAATAATAATAATAGGTAGTTGGATTGAGTTGAAGTCCAAGAGAGTATAACAGGCAACCCAAGCAAGTATTACGCAGAAAAGTCAGCTTTGAAAGCTTTTTGCCGGGGAGGAGATTCAAAATACAACCAACAAGATTAAACTGGAGGAAAAGTATGCACTCAATCAATTATACAATTCAGGTTGTACAATATCATGCAATTAACTCAGAATTAACAATACTTAAATCATGATGCACCTAGAAACTGTGTCCGTTATACTTTCGTACAACGATCTTCGCGGCCTTCCCTCCTCTAGACCTCAATGATATATTCTTAGATCATGTTTCGTCTGGCATTCTTAATAAGTGCTATTCAAATCATGCCATTCCATCCCATCTGCTACTGTCTCATTTAGGTACCCTTTTAGTTTATTTATTTGGTATTCGCTGTAATCCAAATAATAATCGGACACTGCGACGTGAATTGTTGGTTGGACACGCACCTCCACTCTTTCCTATCCTGAGCTAATCTTTGCATTTCCCTAAAACTGGAACATCCCACATCATTAACTATTTGCGAACAGTAATCTAATCTAGGTCTACCTTTATCCCTCCTAAATTTTCCGTTTCTGCCTCTAATATGTCTCTGGCTAGACCTTCATGCATGAGAAGGTGTCCTACCAACGTATCTAAGCCTATTTCTTATTGACTTCCATAGAGTCCTCTGTTCTCCTATTCTTTCTATTACCTCTTCATTTCTAACCTTTTCTACCCATGATATCCTCATCATTCGCCTGTAACACCACATTTCGAACGCATCCAACCTTTTCTTTTCCGCAGCGCCCACCGTTCATGTTTCGTACCCGTACAGCGCCGTGCTCCAAACATACACCTTTAACAACCTTTTTCGAATTTCTAAATTAACCGTTCGCGAGTATAGAAGTGACTTCTTTTTATTGAAGGCGATTCGACCCTGCACTATCCTCTGCTTTATATCCCTACTACTCCTTCCGTCCAGACTTATCTGACTTCTTAGATACTAAAATCAGCCACTTTTCTCCTATCTTTATATTCGCTCTTTCCCTACTTTTTCTTCCCTTGCATACCAGTATTTTTGTTTTACTTTTACTTATTTTCATACAATACTGTGTTGTCAGTACCGCTTCCATTTTATTTAAAGCTATCTCTAGATCCTCCTTGCTAGATGCTAATATTGCTATATCATCTGCAAATCTAAACCCCTGTATATCTATCGCTACAGTTGTACTATCCTTAATGATGTTGATGTTCATTTCTACCGCCTTGATTTAAGTACGTTCTCAATCGCACCCATAACTCATGATGGACTGTACTAAGACTTCACCCAAATGTTTTTTTTTAGTTTTGGTAGGAATGTTACTATCCCACCCCAAGCTATTTATTACTCATTTTAATTATCTAATCCTATTTATATTGACATACCTACTAATACATACATACTTTTCGCCACCCAACCTCCCCTTGCGTTAGCTAAGTTCAAAGGGATGCATTTACCTTTCACACCCTCAACTTTAATAATCGTCAGCCTGATGAACTCAGTCAAAACTTGTACGTTACAAACTTGCCCAAAGTGTGTGTCAAGTTAGAACAACGTTACCGTTCCAATATTATTATAACTTAACTTCAAAACCACTCGCTTAAACGGCTACGTACCTAGGTACCTACATAAATAAGTCGTTCATATATCTGTATACATCAAAATAATAATAGGTAGTTAATACTTAGGTACCTTGTACCCAGATATACCTGTGCACATACATTTATACACACAGTCACTCACGTGTCGAGGGCTGTCACTTGTATTGTCGGAAACAGAAGTGCAACAAACTTTATTTGATCGCATTAATTAATGCTGCATCGGAACTAACCAGGATGAAACTTTTGGTCTAAAACAATCATTTTTACTTCGACTTAACACAAACAAAACACAATTAAATTACTTTATATTAAACTCAGAATTTTCAAAATTAATTAGGGGCCATTTGTAAATTACGTCACACGCTAAGGGCGGGGAGGGGTCAACGAAATGTAGCCTTGTTTATTTGTCAATTGTTTAAAATATTTGACTTTATGTTGCTTTTATTAAAGATTTAAAATTGCTGTTTTAATTTAATTATTTCTAAATACAAAATTGAAAAGTATATGACATCACACCAGGGGGAGAGGTTTCATAAATGTGACCACCTGTGGCAAGGATAGGGTGGGAGTTAAAAAATCATAAAATTTGTGTGACGCCTTCATGAATAAAATCAATTTGTGCTGAATAAGAACACAATTTATTTTGTGTGTTTGACAATTAATACATTTACAAATTCCAAAAATAACAAAATCATCGGTATTCAAAATAAAATCACAAACATTATAAAAGTAACGCTCTGAGTCTGTTTTATCCTGGTACCTACTTAACGGTCAGTTATTATCATTAAGCTAATTCTCTTATTCAATATAAACGAAAGAAAATGGAATTTTTTTCCATTTTTAAACTATCAATGAATTTTTTGTGAAAATCTTCTGATTATGATCGATTTTCATCACATAAATGTAGAAACTATGTATTCAATTCCATGAATTAAAAAAGATACTCATTGAATGAGTTACTCATTTGAAACTGATAAATAATGAGCATTCTTCCAGATTTATTTAGGTGGAAATATTTACCCAAACAAAACCGATGAAATATATTATTTCATTTTTATAGATATCCAAAGAAAATAATGTTTAGTTTTGGTAAAAACTTATTCATCAAACACTGCAAATTAGACGCATGAGTTTTTCGATGACAATGTTACATAGGTAATTGTTATTTTATGTAATTACACAATTAGAAATTTAATTAACAAGTCATTTTCCATAACTTATTTTTACGTCAGTTTAGTGGCCCAAGGCTGTTAAACTAACTTAACCATTATACCCTAAACAACAACAAACCCTCCGGGCGATAAACTATTTAACGATAAGTTTGTAAAGACACACTTACCGCTTGGGGCAAGAAGCCTCCAGCGTTACCAAGCCTCGGTTCTCCAGGTTGAATTAATTAATTTTCTTACAAAGTCTTACGAAGAAAAGCACTTGTAACAAAAAATAAAATAAATACTTTCACCTAAACAACAAGCACCCTCCCTTTTAAGCTGTCATCCCTTAATATGTAATGTTTGTGAGACCCGGGCACTGTCGCTTTTCGCAAACCGTTTGGGACCTCGTGGTGGAAGTCGGTTTCTGGAGCCTTGTTCGAACCACGTCATACACGTTACGCGTTTGGGCTCCGACTGGCGTACAAAACATCGTCGCCGAGGAGGTAGAAACTAACTTTCAGCCTGGGGCGTCCAACCGGAGCGAGATCTTTTTGTTACAAGCAGTTGGGTTAATAATAGCCCCGGGCCAAGTCCAACCCGATTCCGCTGTGTGGTGTGTATACTGGAGTGGTGTATCAGGTTTGCTCGGAATATGACTACGACCCCTTTTACGAGGGTGGATTGATAAGTTTCCGGCCTGACCAAGAAAAACAAGGTTTTTAAAAATTTTTTTTTTTTATTTCTCAACATAATCTCCTCCAAGGCTGATACATTTCTCATAGCGGTGTTCCAGTCTATTAATGCCATCTCTATAGACTGATTCGTCAAGCTCCTCAAAATAACCATTTACAGCTTCGATTACTTCTTCATTGTCCGCAAATCTCTTACCGCCAAGCCATTTTTTGAGATTAGGGAACAGAAAATAGTCACTCGGGGCTAGGTCTGGAGAGTAAGGAGGGTGCGGCATCAATTCAAACTTTAGATCGTTGATTTTAGCCGTCGCAACGATTGACGTGTGCGCTGGTGCGTTATCGTGATGAAACAAGATTTTTTTCTTCGCCAGATGAGGTCGTTTAATTTTCACCTCGTGGCTCTAACGTTGCAATAAGTCTGCGTAGTATTGACCAGTGATAGTATTACCCTTTGCAAGGTAATCAATGTATATAATACCTCTTGCATCCCAAAAAACAGTAGCCATAACCTTGTTCGCCGAAAAAATTGTTTTTGCCTTCTTTGGAGTTGGTTCCCCTGGTCCAATCCACTGTTTAGACTGTTCTTTGGTTTCAGGAGTGTAGTGGTGGACCCACGTTTCGTCAACGGTTACGAATCGACGCAAAAATTCGCTTGGATTACGCTTATACAATGACAAATTTGCGGTAGAAATGTTTTTTCGAATCAATTTTTGGTCGACTGTTAGCAAACGCGGCACCCATCTTGCACAGAGCTTTTCCATATGCAAATGTTGGTGCAAAATATGTTGCACACGTTCATATGACATCTTACAGGTCTCAGCTATCTCACGCACTTTCAATCTGCGGTCTCCCAGCACTATTTGATGAATTTTTTCGATCATATCTGGAGTTGTGACCTCAACGGGGCGTCCTGAGCGAGGCCCATCAGAGGTGCTCACACGACCCTTTTTAAACTCGGAAACCCACTGCTTAACGGTTGAATATGACGGGGAGGATGTCCCCAGTGTTGAGTCCATCTCTTTTTTAATTTCCTTCGGCGTTAACCCCTTCAAATAAAAGTATTTGATGACAGCACGATTTTCCTGCTTTTCCATTTTTACGAAAACCACAGAGGCGTCTTGTTCAGCGTGCTGTCAAACCTACACTAGCAAGGAGATCGGGCTGAAACTATAGCTACAAGCTATCCAAGGATGGTACTATAGAATGTCACCTCAAGGTAGGCCTAGTGGCGTCATCTCTTGGTTAGGCCGGAAACTTATCAATCCACCCTCGTATGCTAAAGCAGCCAGCTAGAGCGCCCTCGGTTAAAAGCAAGACGTACGGAAAGTTATATTAACATACCTGGCAGCCAGTGCATCCCTAAGGACTATGCGATAGACTCGGAAAGGAAAAAGCGGTGCATTCTGAATGGAGAAAATACCGACGATGCATATATACAGGGTCGGACCACGCCAACCAGTGCACCACCCATCGGTTTTTCCGCGCCAGAAACGCTCCCAAATATGTATAAATTTATAGTTATTAACGGGAACGTAGGTGCAGATGGGTGTAGGGTCTAGGGCCATGTATTGAAAGTTGTAGCACGTGTGCTGGTCCACTCTGAATGTTAACCCGATAAAAGTAGTATAAAATTTAAAACGTTAATATGTATCTATAACCAAAAACGTTTTGCTTAGAATTATCCTATGCCTTAACAAAACATTTAAAGATTTTCACAAACTTTTATTTTGTAACATGTTTCGACACAACATTGGCTTTTTCAGACAAATTGAGTATTCACTATCGACTGTAACATCTACGTGGATTACTTAAACGGTTACTACGAATATTTAAGGGATGATATTTATTATCATCATAAAGTCGTCAGTCCTAAGACTGGTTGAACACGTACCTCCACTCGTTCCTGTCCTGAGCTAAACTTCGCATTTCCCTAAAACTAGAACAACCCACATCCTTAACTATTTGCGAAGAGTAATCTAATCTAGGTCTACCTCTACCCCTCCTAACTCCTGTTTCTGCCTCTAATATGTCTCTTACTAGACCTTCATGCCTGAGAAGGTGTCCTACCAAACTATCTCGCCTATTTTTTATTG